AATTATTAAACTGAGATCACATCCTAGAGGGTGCCAGGCCAGGTTGCCAGGAAGAGACTGAAAGGGAGGGGTTGGATCTCACAGCAGAGGCCTCCGATCTTCTAGGCTGGAATGGAAATGGACTCCTCAAGCCTTGGCCCCCTGCCCTACCCTGCTCTCAGCTGATGGAGGGGATCCTGCTTGGGGGTCACAGGCACACTTACCATCTCCTCCACAAGGCTTTCTCTGGTGGCTGTTGTCCTGGAAGGGGGTACCTATATACTGCACCGGACTCTGGCACCTGGTCCTGCTTGGGCTTCCTCTTCTCTTCCAGGGTCTCAGACTCAAACCGCAGGGTTTGAGTCAGATGGATATGACCAGCTTGTGAGATCTTGGGCCCAACCTTGCGTATGATGGTGTCCTTGTCTGTGTCATAGATGTTAGTAGTTCCATTTCTCAGATGAGGAACCTGAAGTTCAGAGAGGAAAAGTGCCTTTCTCAGGGTTGCACAGCTAGGAAGACTGAGCCCTGATTCAAACACAAGTTTCTCTGATGTTAGGTCCCTTTTCTCTCTATTCTTTTTTGGGGGGCGGGGGTGGCCGATACAGGGATCTGAACCTTTAACCTTGGGGTTAACAGCACCAGCTCTAACCAACTGAGCTAACCAGCCAACTCCCTCTATTCTTTTTTTATATTTTAGTATTTTCTCTATTTTCCTGCTTTTCTACAAAAGGAATGTATAACTTTTATAAAGATCGGAAAAACACAATAATCATTATAGGTTAAAAATAAATTTTCTCATTCCAAATGTTGTATTTGCAGGACTGGCTGAGCAATAATGTGGTTGGCTGCGGCTTTTGTCCATTCTGGGAGTATGGAGCCAGTTAAGGAAGCTGGCAAGAAAGCTAGCAGATGCCAAACCTCTTTCACCTCTGGTCCTTTGCACATGCTGTTTCCATCCTGAATACTTCTCCCTTCCCGCCACCATCTCTGCATCACTAACTTTGGTCTCAGTTTAAATATCACCTCCTGAAGGAACCCCTCCCCACCCAGCTGGGCTCAAGGCTGTGCTGTGTTCCCATGGCCTCTGTGCTTCCCCCATCCCAAGAGAAACCTCACGGAACTGCCGTCACCTGTCTGTGTCCCCCCTAGACTCACTGAGGGTAAAGGTGGTTCTGATCATTGCTGTACCTCCAGCATCCAGCCCAGCAGAGGAGTTAATGATCAAATTGTTGAATGAGTGAAATAAAGAATGAATAAATGAATGAATGGAGAAGGGGACTTCTCCATTCCCAGCAAGCCCTACCTTTGTGTTAATTTTCAATTCAAGCAAATGATTATTGAGAAGCTGCCCAGTTAGCTCAGTTGGTTAGAGTGTAGCCTTATAACACCAAGGTCATGGGTTTAGATCCCCACACCGGCCAGCCACAAAAAAAAAAAAAAAAAGAAAAAAGAAAAGAAAAAACGTTTATTGAGTGCCTTATGGGGCCAAGCACTCTACTTAACTTCAGGGCATTCTAGCGATAAACAAAACCAGTCTATGGGAGAGACTATTTGTAACTCAATAATAAACAAACACATATATATCTATGACTTGTGGGAAATGCCAGAGAGGATAGAAACGGTGAACATTATCTGAGAATAACAGGGCACTGATGGGTGACTTTGAGATGGGTCGGTCCTGTGTTTCAGTCCTTGCTTGGCCACTTACCTGCTGTGTGACCTTTTGCAAACCTTTTCACTTCTCTGGACTTTGGTTTTTCATTTGGAAGAAAAGGTTGCTGATCGCGCTCTCTCAGGGATGATGTGAGGAGATGGAGAACATTCATTCATTCAATATGTTGAGCATGTCCTCCCACTCAGAGAAATTACTTGCCCAAGGTCACCCAGATGGGCAGCTGTGTGTGGGTTCTGAACTCAGGTCTTGACTGTTTGTCTGGATCTGGCCAATGATGAGAGGTAGGGTAAGTGTTGGTCTTGTTCCCCTGGATTTATTCCCCTAGGAATTGGAAGCAGTGATCTGCCTGATGGAGGCAAAACACCTGCCGGTCTCCTCACCCTAATGGGAATGGCGGGCTCCTGCACGAGAGAGACCCAAGTTTGGATGACACAAAGGAGCCCATTCAAAGGGATGTCTCCATTCAGCAGGACATTTCTCTTTGCTGGGGGCAACCTGGTAACTCCATCATCCTCACTGAGCCCCTCTGACTTCCTGAGTAAGTCCCGGTGTCCCTCACCGAGCCTCCCTTCCCCCGCTGTGAGGTACCTTCAGCACCTTTGCACCCACAAACCCCTCCCTGCTCGCTGAGTCACATCATACTCAGGGAACCGCTCTTCTTCCCCTCACTGAGACCTCCCCCCTCACTGAGCCCCTCGCTGTCCCCTCACTGAGCCTCCACTGTTCCTGGTCACTGAGCACCCTCCCCCCAAGTCCTCCTCCCTTCCTCTTCACTGAGCCTGGCGCCAGCTCACCCACCCTCCCTCCTCTCTGCCCTCTTCTGAGCTGTCTCTCTGGAGCCAAGCTGTCTCGCCCACGAGTCCCCGTCACTCAGTCTAAGGCACCTGAAAGCACTTAGAGAAGATGGGGGACGGGGAGGGGATGAAGCCCTGTCCTTATCCTCCTTCTCATCAAGCTAGCGACGCTCTGCTATCAGCCGCCTCTTCAGGCTGGGGCAGTATCACACTGGCGACACCTTTAGCGTTTCACCTCCCAAGCCTAGGCCACCTTCAAGCAGATGGAAACTGTCGTATAACTTCGTATAATGTATGCTATACGAAGTTATTACGCTCCCTTGTGGTTTCAGTTGTAGGAGCCTTCTCCTCCATTCCCACGTGACTGGCTGCTGGTACTGAAAGATTTCATTCCGGAAATCTGTTACCTTCTGCCCTGGAGCTTGGCTGGCATTCAGAGGTGGGAGAGGATGTTTGAGGACAACTTGGCCAGGTCTCTACTTACTAAGAGAAGTGGAGAATTGGGACTAATTTCCTGATAGGTTGAGCACCAAATGTAATTTTTTACCATATGACCTCATTTAAAAAAATATGAAAACCTGGATTGTTCAGTGGGGAAAAAAAATCCCAATTCAAAAATACTGACATAAAATCTATGTTCTTTAGCCTCACCACAAGAGCATACTGTTTTGGCAAAGTGGCCAGTAATCATGATGGTCAAATTTTTTAAAGATGATACACCTGAGGACAAAATATCTGAGTTGATACTGTACCGGAAAATCTGTATCCATCTATCTATATATTTATCCATCTGTTATCTATCTATATCTGTTTGTCTGTCTGCCTATCTGTCTCTATCTGTTTGTCTGTATATCTATCATCTCTTACCTCCTTCTACATGCCTTGTTAGTGTACACTGTCAGCACACAAACCTCAGTGATGCTGTTCCTGGCAGTTTAATCAATCAGCCAATAGTCTCTGAGTACCCACCTTTACACGGCCACATGACTTGGGAGATACAACAGTGTATAATGACAATACCTCCTCTCTGCCTTCAGTTCACTTTAAGCTGTAACTCAGCAAAACAGAACAAGTTCTGAAAACAAGCCCGAGTTTAAATTCTGGCACCACTACCTCTATGATCCAGAGCAAGTTAGTTAATCTTGTTAATCCACAGTTTATCTATAAAGTGGCAATAATAACATTGGTACCTAACTATTACTAATTTATAGAGTCATAGATTACATGAGATATTGAAATGAAAGTGCACAGTGTCTGGTGCATAATAGGCTCAATAAGGGTTTGTAATCATTACCTCCTTAAAAATCACCAGACATATATACAAAACACAACTGCACTGCCAAGTGAGGAGAAGCCTGATCCTGTCCTCAGTTCCTCCCCCAGCAGCTCAGAGCAGAGCTGGTGCTCTGCAGCATTATGAGATTGTAGTTAAGAACATCGACTTTGTGGTCAGGCAAACCTGGGTTAAAATCTCAGTTTTGTTACTTGTTAGCTCTGAGATCTTAGACAAGTTAAATGACCTCTTTGAGCCTTGGTTTCCTGATGGTGACATAGGAATGTTGTAGGATAAAATGCAGTAACTATTTATAGAGTCACACAGAACTTGTTACATAAAAAGCACTGAATAAATGGTAGTCTTTATTATTAGAGATAATGAATACAAAGCATTTGATGATTTGATCATAGGAATCACTCAAAATGCAGCTACTTTTTATCTTTATCAGCCTAAAAATATCTGTTATTCAATATTCATGAAAGGCCCACTTGAAAGATAGTGTTCATGGAGGTCTCAGTCTCCTCAGGACTGAAGGTAGCAGTCCCTCCACATGAGCCGTGGAACAAGCTGTGCTATCTTAATGCAGAAGTGGTCTGTTACTGACTGTATTAGCCACCATGCTATTGGCTTGCGTCAGGGAGCACTCAAGTTATCATGTGCATGAAATCACAATTGGGTTTAAGCAGGGATGTTGTTGAAATCAAGACCACTTCTGCAAACAGTATTCCTGTTTGAGAACCCGTTGAAGAAAAGTCCCTATACGTCAGTTCATTGAAAGCCAAAGCCACTTCCTAAGTTAAACCTGTAAAATTTTAAACTTCTAATTTAAAATAATTATACATTCACGACATGTTGCATAGAGTGTACTGAGAGGTCCTATTTATTCATTACTCAGTTTCTTCCAACGGTTATGCCTTAGGTAAGTAAATATAGGACAATATCATACCCAGAAATTGATATTACCTTTAGTGACTTTATTGAAACCAATAGCATGCATAACTGATTTTAATCCTGACTTTCTTACTGTTTTCTCTTTATTTTCCTCTTCAGTTTATTTTATCATGTTTTTGCATTACACGTATGAAAGCTACCTCCAATCTTTTAGAAACAAGGCTGGGAATAAAGGAAATGAAATAAAATGTCCTCGTAAGGGAATGTATTTTCTATTAAATAATACTCATCTGGATTACTACTATTAAGATAATTGTTTTCTTTTTTTTTATTAGTGCCTTGTTTTAGGAATTAGTTGTTAATTTACTCTTCTAGTAGATGTCATGTAAATATCCATAAGAATCCCATATGAGTGCTGATTACTATTCAGAGGCCTAAAGGAAGGCAGCTGAATGCAATTCCAGTGCGCTAGGAGAACACCCTAGTTGCACCAAGTGGCCCAAAAGGTCATTCTTCTTGAACACTGTGTTGTAGAAATGGACAGGTGCATTTTGGGGTGGGAGAGAGAAGACGTCTCCAATGCTAGAATTTGTGATGGGGAGCAGGTGTTAACAGTGGGGTCTGCACAAGCAGAAATTTGTAGAGGGTCAGGATCTAATGTGGCCGCCCAGATTCAGAGTTCTGAGAGTTTTCCTCACACAAAAATGTCTCATCCCTGCACTCTGGTGTCTAATCATCTGGCCAGTGGCAATGAGGTAATTTGTGAACATAGCACTACACCTGGCTTCCTTTGGTTTTTAGAGGCTGGTGGACTTGGGTTGATCTTGAATGCAAACTGAAAGGGCTGCAGAGGTCAGAGTGTTTAGCCAGGGAGGAAACCCTTCCCTAGCAGCTTTTCTGAAGACAGTCCCTTGTCATGGACTTATTTATTTAAAGGATCCCAGAGACTGAACAGACTGTTTTTGTGGATGCTAATGGCCTTGCTTTACAAGTAAATGTTTTATTTTTATTTTTGTTTTTTGCCTCTTCCGGTTTGGGTTGGCTGTCACACATAATCATTGTGGTGACCCAGCTACATTCACATCTAAAAACCACATAGCAAATTGATGCTGGAGTTTTTCCCTAGGCTTTCTCTGAGTGCATCTTTCCAGTCCCAGTATGAAAAGTCTGTCCTTGATGTAATTTTGAAACTGAAAACAAAACAACAAAGGCACATTCCTCAAAGCTTGTGTTAGTTTTGTAAGACCGTCTGAATTAACCAGGTTGCTCATGGTGCCACTCGCGTGGATGTTAAAGAAGGCTGATCTGTGGTCTAGTGGCCTAAGATGGTCTGGCGATTTAGAATTTTCTGAGCTGCCCTTGCAACTATCATTTTGGATTTTTTTTTTAAAAAGTGCTGAATTAAAGTAATAGGAAGTTATTTTTAAATGATTATATTATTTTCTCCTTATTCTAGGAACTACACGTTGAGGTTTATGCCAATTCCTATGTATGATGCCTCTCAAGCCCTAAAAACAAACCCTGAGAAAACAGAAGAGGCTCTGCAAAAGGTATTGAAAAATGAATAGCTTAGTTACCATAAATTCAAGTTTAAATTGTGTTAAAAATGATTCTCAACATATGAACAATACTTTGTTATTTTACAAAACTTTTTTTCCCACATTATCTCATATTCTCACAGTTACAATTGGTATAATGCATGACTGAGGAGGAATAAAATAAGGAAAACTAAAACTTGTCATGGAATTTAAGTGGAGTAAAATAACGTTCTTATAACATTAACATGCCAAAGGTTAAGCGCAGGTAACTTCCTGCTTGTCCTTTGATGAATGTGTGGAATTGAATGTCACTTTGCACAACCTACCTCCCCTTTATCCTCAACAGATAGGACCTTGCCTCCATTCTTCATCAAGAAATTTAGGGTATTGTTGAGATCTCACTTCACCATCTTTGTCTATATATGTATCTAAATCCACACCCATATCTGCCTCCTTTCTGGCAAACTCAGAGGATGTCGGGAGACTCCTCCTTCAAAGCCCAGCCATCCATGGTTGGCCTTGACCCCAGCATCTCTGCTCTGTGCTGGAAACATGCCCTCTGAGTCATTCCCTTGCTGTCCAGGATCTTCATCCTTCTCTTTCTGTGGCTGCCTTTCTTTCCATTTTAGATATGCTCATGTATTCCCATCTGAAGAAGCCTATTCCACCCTTACTATGGTATTATTTGGAGCATCTTTGAAATCTTTCCTCCTCTTTTGTTCTCTCTCCTTGGTGTGGTACCACCCTCTATCCAGTCTCCCAAGCTTGGCTTTCATTTCTTATCTCCCTTAACCAATCAGTCACCAAGTTTACTGATTCTATTGCATGAGTCTCCTCATTAGCTCTCCCCCCTCTCTTCTGATTACAGATACCTTCCTTCAAGCCAATCACCTCTCACCAGGATTATTGCCATGTTTGCCTTCTCTTGTCAGTTTTCCATGTTGCAGTCAAAATTAGCCATTATGTTTCATGGTAAATCTGAGCAGACTAAAACCTTTACTCCACCCTCCCTAGTGGCTTTCAGGATAAATAGAGCCTGGTCTCCTTAACACAGCATGAAATTCTATTCAGGACCTGCATCCTATTTGCCTCCTACTTCATCTCTTAACAACCCTTGGTTTTACTCTACCTCAAGGAACTCATTAGAAATGCATATTCTCGAGCCTCAGACATTAGGGTAGGACTTAGCAGTTTGTGTTTTCACACACTGTCCTGCTGATTGTAAAGTTTGTGAATCTCTGTTCTACTCTAAACGTGTCATGCTTCCTCTACTACCATGCATGTCTGTTGAGACTGAAATCAAGTGTTGGCTTATCCAGGAAGATTTCTCCGAGCCCTTTCCTCTTCTCCAGAGCCCTTTCCTCTTCTCCACGGGTGATCATCTCAGAATTTCCTGTGTGTCTCTGTTATTGGCCTTGTGACATTGTTTTAAGTTATCTGTCTCCATATTTTTTTCTCCTAATGGACTGTGAGCTCCTTGAAGGCAGAGCCTATGTACTCGAGCCCTTTCCTCTTCTCCATGGGTGATCATCTCAGAATTTCCTGTGTGTCTCTGTTATTGGCCTTGTGACATTGTTTTAAGTTACCTGTCTCCATATTTTTTTCTCCTAATGGACTGTGAGCTCCTTGAAGGCAGAGCCTATGTACTTTGTCATCATATTTTTCCCAGCAGCTAGCCTAGTGCCTGGCATTATACTTCTTAGTCATTTGTGGAATAAAATAAATAACATTGGGGGTAGGGAAAGAGAAAGCTGTGATATGCAAAAGAAATTATCCAAGATGTAGATTCAGAAGATTTGACTTCAAATCAAACTTTTCTCATTGTTGTAACCTTCAATAAGTTATTTGATTTTTCTGAATTTTAGTTTTTTGAATCTATATAAGTAGGAAAAATAAAGCTATATGTCTTAGTCCATTTTCTGTTGCTATAACTGAATACTAGAGATTGGGTAGTTTATAAAGAAAATTAGGTTCTGGAGGCTGGAAGTCCAAGATCAGGCGGCCACATCTGGTTGGCTTCTCGTATGTTCCTCGTGTTGTATCATAACACAGGGGAAGGCATCACAGGGCAAGAGGGACGCATGAGAGAGAGCCAAACTGGCTTTTATAACAGACCCGCTCGAAGTAACTCACCCCTGTGATAAACCATTAATCTGTTAACCCATTGTCTTTGAACAGCTCTGCCCTCATGACCCAGTCACCTCTTAAAGGCCTCACCTCTTAGTACTGTTACATTGGGGATTAAGTTTCAACATGAGTTTCGGAGAGGATGAGCATTCAAATAACAGTACACAATAACTGTGTTTAGTTGACACTTAACAAATAGTTCTTACTAGGTGCCTGGCATTGTTTTAAATGCTTTATGTAAATTAATACATGTAACCGTTAAAATAAGCCCATGTGATAGGTTTTATTTTATCCCTATTTTACAGATAAGAAAAATGAAAGAGAGGGAGACTAAGTAATTTGCCTAAGGTGACCATGAGGATCCAGTGAGGTATTATATGTGAAATGAAGTTTATGAGAAGCAACATACAAATGTTAGACATTGTTGGCCTAAAAGAAATTGAGGCCAAACATACAAAGCATAGGATATATTGAGCCAGTATGATGATTGCAACCAAGAAACACATAGGTCAGTTTACCCTGAGAAATGCACTCTAGAGGAGACCAGCAGAGCTTAGCATTTTATAATCACAAGAAAGGGGGCGAATCAAAGGAGAGAGAGAAGAAGACAGCCCCCTAATCATTACCTCAGTTTTTCTATTAGCTGGTACACATATAAAGATTTTTGGATTGTTACTAGGTTACATTTTACATGCAGGAATCTAGGGTAAGGTTTACAAGAAGCATTTTAGATTAATTTTTTCTTTTTCTGGTGACTGTATGGCTGAAAACAGTTTTATGATAATGTGCAGATGTGATTGCTGGCTTATCCCAGATTTCCCAAGGCAATATAATTTTAGCTGACCTGGTCAGAGTAGATATTTTAGTTATCAATATCTTTATACTTTTTTAAAAGGATATTACTCAGCTGGAACAAAAGGCTTATTCTAGAGAAACTAGGTTTCTGGTTTTGGATTTAACACATAAAGAGCTTGGAAATCATTGGTGAACAAACAGAAAATCATTGGCTTTTCTTAGATTTTTCAGAGAACTGAGGTCACAGGGCAAACTGTCACCCTGAAAATTGGAGAAACAGGCACAGATAGAGAATCACAGTGAATCATAGCCAAGGTGAGCTTACCAGGAGTGGGGGCTAGTGGAGTCAGTAACTCATAAGAACACTTAAATAATAATTGATAAATCACTGGAGGCTTAGTGTGGCTTAGCTTAAGAGCTAAAATCCTTTACGGGTTCAGTCGTAGGGAGGCCCCAACACTTACATGGGTTTTACTTCCAGGAGCTTCATCAGATAAATCTTTACTTCAACAGTAGAGATTGGAGAAAAATGTCCTCATGTTTCTGGCAAGGGGAAGGGAGTAAGTAACCATTCTGAAATACACCCAGAGCATTCTCTTCTCCATAGCAAAGGCCTACCAGCCAGAGAAACTACTTTACTTGAACAGTGTCTGACCTGAGGAAGGACAATTAGACCATCAAGCACCCTCTAGCCTTTCTGTCTCAAAAAGACGAGGGGGACAAGAAGATTAAGAAACATTTCTGAAGGTCATGTCTAGGGACCCAGGACCACTAAAAAATAAATAAATAAAGCTAACTAAATTTAATCATAAGATTATAGAGTGATCCCCCTCCCTAACATCTTACTACCAGATCAAGTAAAATAACAGTGGATTACAACTGGGCAAGCTGCAGACACTACTTAAGAAAGAGTTTCTAGGAAAACCCCAAAATAACATGGGAGACAAAAACAAGGACACTAGAGGAAATGAAGCCTCTGGCACATACAGCTACAACAGACATTAAACACAGCTTATCTGCTAGCCAGATTAACATAAAACCTCACACTAAAAGTCTGATTACCTTAGTTCTTAGCATCAGATACATCATTTCCAGCTTTCAACAAAAAATTACAAGGCATGTTAAAAGGCAGGAAAAAGCACAGTGTGAAAGAGACAAAGTGAGCATCAGAACCAGACTCAGATATGACCCAGATTTAGAATTATCAGGGAATTTAAAATAACTATAATAAATATGTTAAGGGTTCTAATGGAAAAAGCAGACAGCATGCAAGAACAGATGGGCAATGTAAGCAGAAAGATGAAAACTCTTAAGGAAAAGTTAAAAGGAAATGCTAGAGATCAAGAACCTGTAACAAATGAAAAATGCCTTTGATGAGCTCACGAGTAGACTGAACACAGCTGAGGAAAGAATCACTGAGCTTAAAGATTCAACAGAAACTTTCCAAACTGAATTTCAAAGAGAGAGAGAGAGAGAAAAAAAAAATGGAAGAAGAAAAAAGAGCAGACTATCCCAGAACTGTGGGACAATTTTAAAAGATATAACATGCACATAATACGAATACCAGAAGGAAAAGAAAAAAAAAAAATGGAAGAAGAAAAAAGAGCAGACTATCCCAGGACTGTGGGACAATTTTAAAAGATATAACATGCACATAATACGAATACCAGAAGGAAAAGAAAGAAAGGAACAGAAGAACATCTGAAGTAATAACAGCTGAAAAGTTTCCAAAACTAATGACAGACACTAAACTACAGATCCAGAAAGCTCAGAGGACACCAAGCAGGATAAATACCAAAAAAAAAAAAAAAAAAAAAAAAAAAATACACATAAACATATGTAGGGGCCAAGTGAATACTTCTCCTTCAAGCCCTGAAGGTTCTCTGAAAAATCAACTAATAAAGAGAGACTAGTATGAAGAAAAGGCTACTTTAATCCTACTTTATCATTTTAATGTGCTGGGAGAGAAAATGCATGGGGGAATCACAAGAGGGTAATTTCCCAATTTTCCAGTGGGGTACAGAGATTATCCCCCATCTTCATGGGGAAAGGGAAACTGGGATGTAGGAATAAATGATTCTTAGGAGGACGCAATGGGACTGGAGAGTGTATAATGGCCTGGAACAAAGTCTGTTTGGCCCACAGAATAGACAGTGATTGGTAAATGATTTGCTTCAATATACTGAATGGGACTGAAATAGAAGACAATGTTCTGTGACAAAAGTCAGTCCAGGTGTGTTGACAGACTCCAGGCTTCCTTCCTGTGATAGGAGTTAAGTTAATGAAAACTCAGGGAAAGGACTAGAAGTAATTGTTGTTGTCTTATGAGGGAACAGCTCATCCTGTGCTTTGGAGAGTGACAGGGAGGGGGAGGAAGGTCAGAGAGACCTTGAGGCTGCTGCTTTGTTCCAACATGTCAAAGCACCTTATTTGGGGGTAACAGCTTTCTGCACTTCAACACACATAACATTCAAACTGCAGAAAACCAAAAACAAAGAGAAAAGCTTTAAAGAAGGCAGAGGAAAAAACACCTTATGTATCGAGAAATAAGGATAAGGATTGCATTGGATTTTTTTTGTCAGAAACCACGTAAAAAGAGAGTGGAGTGAAATATTTAGTGTGTTGATACCAAAAACCCCATCAGCCTAGAGTTCTATATCTAGTCAAATTATCCTTCAAAAGTGAAGAAATAGAGACTTTCTGAGATTAAAAACCGAGGAAGTATGTCACCAGTAGATCTGTCTTGCAAGAGATAAAAGAAGTCCTTCAGAGAGAAGGAAAGTTGTTAGAGGTTAGAATTTTGGATCTGCATTTATGGATTTTCCTTTCAGAGGGAACAGCATCAGAGAGGGGGTAAATGAAGGTAAAATAAAATCCTACTTTTCTTATTGTGAATTGCTCCAATAGATGACTCTTTCTTTAAAGTAATAACAACAGGGTACTGGGTAGTTATGGTATATGGATAAATGAAATGAATGTCAGCAACATTATAAGGGACAGGAATGGGGAATTGGCGATATTCTATTATGCGGCACTTGCACTGCTCGTGAACTGATACAATGCTATTTGAAAGTAGATTTGGATTATTTGTAAATGTATATTGCAGACAGTAGGGCAACCACTAAAAACATTTTTTTAAAGAAATGTAATTTATATGCTAAGAGAGAAGAAAAATGTAATCATATAAAATGCTTAATTAAAATCAGAGAAGGTAGAAAGAGGAGAAGATAAAAGCAGCAGCAAAGAACAAGATAAATCAGTAGAAAACAGTTACAAACATGATAGATATTAATCTTACTATATCAAGACATTTTACAGGTCAGAAAATTAAAAATAGGTGCAGTAAATGGAAACTAAGGACAAACAAAGATGCAAACATTTGTAAAATTTGTGCTTTTTTAATGAAAAATTGGTGAGTGTAAAGCTCATACTTATTTTTCTTATGATACTGTGTTCTTATATATTCAGGTTTTTACTTTAACAGATAGATCTTTGTCTTCTAGAAGAAATATGGCTATTTACTTTTACTCTACTAAAGGAAAAATATCGTGATTTCATACTCAAAAAAATAAGTTTGGGTTTTGTTTTTAATAGAAGATTTCTTTATTTAAAACCAGGCTTTTGTTTCTTGTGCTGCTGCTGTTTTCAAGCAGTGAGACTGCACATGTCTGACTGGCCCTAGACAATCTCCCAGCTCGCCCTCTGCTGTCTAGGGGACACAGTGAACTTGACAATGAATAATTTTGGCCCTTCTCTTTCCATTTGACCTTAGCCTGGCCCTCAGTCCTTAACCCTCAGGAGGTCGGTTTTCTGTCTTTGGTCTGGAATGATGCTGCAAGGAACGTTTCCCTTGTTCATCTAAGATGCGAATAATTTCAGTGGTGATGTGTACATTAGTGACACTAAAGACACTTGAAATTGTTATTCTTTCTTCCTCTTGAGCTGATTTTTAGAAACAGGCTTTGGGTATTATTTTCCTAAAAAAATTCCTTTCTGGCTTAAGTCTGTGAAGCACACCATGTGCACCTGGGGAAGGTCCAGAAAGGCACGGGCCAGCCTTGGGTGTGTGACCTCCTGATTAAGGAGACTGCTTTCAGACCTGGGTCACAGCCAGTGCCCTGCAAGGGCAAATGTAAAAAGATAAAAAACAAAACACAGGGATCCAAAGCTGGGTGGTGGTGTGTGCCTGTCATATTTCAGGCAAGAATCTTCTAGCAAGAAATTTTACATTGATGGTAATGTCACCTTGGAGAGAGACCACTTCTTGGGAAGCAGCAAGAGAAAGTTAATGTAATATAATATCAAGGCATTAATGTGTCACTTTAATGATGTTTCATTGCAGGAATCTTTTCATTTTTATAATTTCTTCATTTATATTTAGCAGGAAGGTACGTTTTGTTCTGCTTTATAGTTTCCAGGGATGATAGTAATTATCATCTGTATTTTAATTGTTCCTAATTGGTATTAAGTAGTAGTGATTTTAGCATATGGAAAATTTAAATGAAAATGTAATAATACTGAGAACTTCAGTTATTAGACGTTCTTAACCAGGGAACTGTAGTGACAAATTAAAAGCCATATGGTTAAGTGGTGTTATTAAAAACAAAAACAGCAAGTAAAAAAAAATAAAAATAAAAAAGAGGCACAATTTACCTACCTCAAATAAAAAACATATTTATAGGTATTCATCATTCCCAACAGTTAACCCTGTATTTTTTGTTCATGTGTATTCCCTGCATACTGTTGTTCTTAACTGCTTTATTTCAATCTAATTATCATTTGTCCATTTGAATTTTTCACAGGGGATTGTCTGTGTATAAATTACAGGTTGTCAAACAACTTCAGGTTTCTCATTTTCTGTGCAAGTCCATTTTCTTATTTGATATAATTTTACCGAAATCAGTCCTACTTTTGAGAAAATATGAAAACCTGATGAATTAATGAAATTAGCATATGTCTTTGAGGTGTACCAGCCTGTGTCCTTCAAATTCTGTAGCTATTCTCTCTTTTTTTCCTCTAAGATAAAGATTTTTCTAAGAGCTGTGGATTCTTCAACTGGAATAAGGCTAAGAGGTTCAGAGAGTATCATCTGGGGGTATTTATTTAGCTTCTTAACTGTTTGGTAGTTAAAAACTCCTTTAAGAGAAGGATTAAAGACTGCATGCAGGACAGGGATGAAAAGTCACGAGGTGGGGTCTCTAACCCTGCAAGCAAGTAAATACTTGCTTATCTTTGCCAGCTACTGAATCACATAAAAATGACTCCACTTACCAGTAAGTTAAATTTCTAACCAAAAACACCAATACTAAATCACAAGGAAAGTCACTTTCCCCATTCCATATGTTTTATGGGGTCAAGGCACTGGTAGGATGTGTATCTTAGTGCTTTGGTTTTAAGTTCAGCAACTGACTGTTTCACGTATAACTTTATGCTCTGCTGAGTTGAAATGTGTTCTTGAGAGATCCGTGTGCTTAATTTCCAGATAGAAAACTATCTGCTTCGGAATCACGAGACTAGAAAATACCTTCAAGAGCAGGCCTACCGCCTGCAGCAGGGTATTGTCACCAGCACCACCCAGCAGGTAAGGGGGCACCTGCTGCTTTCTCCTCCTTACTCTCAGCTGACACTTCTGGGAGCAAAGGACTTCCCACATTTGAGGCATTCCCAATGCAACAGTAAGAACTGGCTTCTGAAAATGACAACAAATGTAAAGAGAGTTTGAAGGAAGATGTAAAGGGAGGAAAATGTAGGCTAATTCTAATGCTAAATATGTACTTTTAATTGTTGGTTTTGAGCCCTTTAAGATCGTCAGTAGGAATGTATTTTAGATTTATGTACAAATATTAGGAACTCTTGATTATAGATAATAAAATCTGAGGGAAGGTGATCAAATTTGCTACTTTGGAGACATTCTGTTCCTTTCTCTCTCTGCCTTTGCATGTCCAAGAGTAGGATACAAATTCCCAAATTCTTCTGAATAATTAAGTTTGTTGAATATTAATTAGCACATAAATGCTGAAGAGAAACTGAGGTGCTTTTCTCTTTTACCTCATTCTTCTCTCTACCCAACATTAGAGGGGAAACAAAGAATTATAATAATAATAATAATGTGGAATATTTTTCTCTAAAAAATGAACTAAAAACAAGGATCATAAGATATTTGAGGAAAACAGTGTGTCAAAGAAAGAGCATGATAAAAGAAAAGAGCTCAGATAATTCAGAGTACAGTAGAGGACTTTAAAAAAATTGTAATTAATAAGTTCAGTGGGACTTGAGGGAATATGTTCATAAAATAATACGCTGCTATGAAAAGGAGTTGGAGAACTGGAATCAATGCTTAGCAATTAAAAATATGATAACTAATACAGAATTAAATAAACTGATAGGACACAAACTAAGCTATTCCTCTGGAAGAAAAAGTGGAGAAAATCTTTGTAACATGTAGTAAAAGGACCAAAAGTTGAAAAATATGAAAGAAAAGTAAGTCAAAATGGTAAATAGATTCAAAATAAACAATAGACTTCTAATAGGAGCCTTGAAGTTAAAAATGAGAGAAAACAGAGGGCAGAAAATAATAGAAAACCATTTCACATGAGTCTTGGGGTTGATATAACCCATTGGAATTGATCAGAATAAATGTGCAAAAGACTCGCACCTAGATATATCCTGGTGAAATCTCAGAACACCTAGGCAAAAGAAAAAAATCTTAAAGAGTGCCAGAGAGAATAAATGGGCTATCTTGCAAGGTATCAAGAACCAATTCTTAGTATCCATCCCAGTTACTAGAAGCAAACAAGGTAATGCCATCTAAATTCAGAGGCAGATTTATTTTGGACTAAACATTATATACCTCGTCATCTCATCAATCAGATGTGAGGACAGAATAAAAATCATTTTTATTTTGTTTTTATTCTGTCCTCACATCTGATTGATGAGATGACTAGGTATAGGGATGGCCAGTTGCTCACTTGGGAGAGCGTGGTGCTGACAACACCAA